GTATACTGCATTGAACTACTTACAATATATAAATAAAATATTAAAGTTGTTAAATATTATTGGGAGTTTTAGGGTAGTTTAAAACTTGCATTCATTATGAAGTGCCTAACAAAATTTAGAACAGTTCTTGCGACTAGCTGATTGTTGAGAAGAATATGGGTGTCGCGGCGCGTGACCTGCTCGGAGGCGGTGGTCAATGGCTCACATTGGCTTTCAGCCTCATTTGAAAGTCAATATTGCACAGCAATTATCCATCGATCTGGACTTATGACCCACTTTATATGAAGAAACGATGATCCAAATCGTTAGTCACGATCGAGAGATTAATATTTTGTTTTATGTATTGTCGCCGTGATTATCGGAGCGGACGCTGCGTTTTCACAACACGATACGTATGTTGGTTTGCTAAGTTCCAAATCACGACGTCGCCGCTCAACTTTCGACTATACGTCGATTAAGAATCACTTGCGACAACGGATTGATCGATGTAGCCCTTGGCATTTATATTTAATAACTGTAAACAAGATGACACACATAGTTAATAGGCTCTATTGACAATATGAAAAATATTAAGTCATAATATAGAGGAAGCGGGCGTAATGAGAACTATACCATTTTACAATTGTGTTGACATTAGTGACCTTAATAATATTGCCTATATTAATAAATAATTAAGATTTATTTATAAATACATATTAATGCACTATCACTTACATGTACAAAAATGTACTACTTCTTTATACATCACACAATATATTTTTTATCTTAATTAATGACTTGAAATACTCTGTAATAATGTTATGTAAGAACGAGTTATAGAGCTTGATGTACGTGGACAATGGTGGACATGATGTGGTACGGCGGCTTGTCAAAGCAAACACTCGTTTAGGCCAATTTGTGCGTGCCTGCGCGCGCGCAACTACAACGTATAATTATACGGTTATAGAACGCACCCCCGCACTCAGCGCCCCGTCACGGGCCGATTGATAAAAAACAACCATCTGTTGAACCATAATCGGGATAACGCCTGCTGGGTCAATAATTGACCGCCAACACAGTGTTTCGAAAATTAAGGTTTTTTGTCAGTCAAATTAAAATTGGGTCAATAGCCAATTTATCTATATTTAGTCGATTAACGATATTTTGATTTTTAAAAATAACAGTAACTATTATTTTATCTTAAATGCGCGTGTCTTAAATCCCTAAATTTAATTTTTTGCGTTTAATTTATATAGTAATCACTAATAGGTAAGCATTATAAGATAAAGGTATTCCTTAGCCTCCGTTACTTATATTATAATATAAAAAATTGGTTAACACTTAAGGATATTTCTGATAAAACCGATAACGTCTAATATAAAAACGATACATATAATGAAACAGAATCAACTAAAAACAGTGATTTATAATTACATAATTCATACGTTTTCGTGCTTTTTTCATTTTGCCCCCACCCATTTTGTACAAAATCATATAAATCTTCATATTCCAAAGTTTGTTTCTATAATTAAAAATAAATACTAACAACACAAACTATGTGAATGCATCGAATCCGTATAATTAACTTTTTATTAATGTAAAATGCGTAGCGGCGCTAAGGTTTAATAATTCCATTAGGAGCGCAAAGGCTCTGGTAAAAAACTTCGGTCGTTGGAGAATATTAGAATTATTAATAACACAATTTAAATCAATTTCCGTTCCACGTTTAACCCTTTAAGCCGGAGTGTTACACGCATCCATAATATAAAATGGTGTGTAATCTAGTCCAACGCAGCTTGTATACGCCGCAAAGGACTTTTTTTTTTAATATGTTGTCTTATGTTGAGTAATCTGGGTTTGTTTAAGAAAAGATGCCAAGTTGTATATTTTATAAGTAAGCATTTTAACATATTTATTTATTTAACAATGCAATGTGAATTACTGTTTTATTATCTATTATATGTAGGTACGTAAAATTTATATGTTATTTTAAGGTTATTTCAAGTACCCGGCTCTCACTATATAATTCTTCTTCTCTTGCGTGTTAATTTGATTGTTAATTTAGTCATAAGATAAAATTAAAACAATTTAGAAGCTTTTTATTAGCTTCGAGGTTCGCGGTAAAAATAGGAATGTACAGAGTGCATCAGTACCAGATGTTTTGCTTTCTCACGAGACACTTGTTTAGTTGTTTATTTCGCTAAGTTAGGTAGCTCGTAAAGCAATTTAAATCAGGTGCAGCCAGAGCTATTGAGACATGTGCTTTGCTTAACAATAGTAATAGCCGCTAAGCATTGTTCAGACTGGCTGTAAAGTATTGAGAGCGAGGGCTACGTCGGCGCGCGCGCAGGTGGCGTACAGATCCTTGTTCCCAAATGAAAGTCGATTGTTTATGCAGTACAACGGTTATTAGCTAAGTTTATTACTATTTTAGGACTTGTTTTGTGGGAAATATATAGTTAAACGAGAAACGTACTTTTTGTGGTAATTTTATGCTTTGTCTGTCTTTATATTGAGCTGGGTAAACACGTGAAATTCTTATCGGCTTGTTCCTTTGTACTTGTTTATTTTATTCGTTACTTTTGATGTATAACAAGTACAAGCGTCGAACTATCCTAGCCTATTGAAATAGATACTATCAATATTAATTCAGAGTAACTGTTTAAAATAATATAAGTAGATACTTGTTATAAACAAACAAACAACAATGAAAAAAATATTTAAATCTGATTTAAATGTAAAATTACGGTTCCCTGCTAAGTTAGGCTGTAGATAAATAAAATTAGTTCTTTATACCTAAAATATAAGTGGGCGCCCAAAGAGCAATTCTTAAATAAGTGAAAAACTATTTCCGTCGACTATTGTCACTAATTATAATTGTCTTGTTTCGTTGTCGTTTAGTGACGCTAATTTACATTAGATTTATAGGGATAGCCATAGTCTGCACTGTGTATTAGATTGACGGACACCGGATTATTCAGCGGGTCTATTTATAATATAGAACTCTCGGACACGGATCGCGGGCGATGGAATCTGCTCCTTTGTCATTGGGGCAACCTGTTCTGTCGGGTTCGAACTCACAGCGAGCACAATGTAAAATAACGGGCCACCTGATTAACCGCCATTCCGCCCAGCTATGCAGATATCTACCGGCGATCCGTCGCGCCGCGCCGCGCCGATCACTGATCATATTAATTTTAAATGATAGATTGCTTTTATATTGTTAATGCCTTATTATGATTTAGATAACAAAAACAAAGTCACTGAACTTTCTATGAGCTTAAGTGATTCGAATTATATTAATAGCGAAATGATGTCGAGCCGCGATTACCGTGAGTGCATTGGAAAGATTTTCGATTTAGATATTGGGTTAGTATATAGACTGTGGACGGTATGCGTGCATGGTTTTTAGTAAGATTTGTATTGTACTGTCAATATGTACTATATTATAAAGTATTTAGTGACATCTGCGTATATTGTGCAATAACGATGTAAGTAACTTAGTTCTCACGCACTAAAAGCTCAAAAAATATTACGAACCGAGACAACTCTAAAAAAGTAACATAACCAAAACATGTGTGAATGAAGTTTTTTCGGCTGTGAACAGGAGACGGAATCGTCCGTAAATTCTATTACTTTGGTACAAATCTCTGAAACACTAGTAAAAAACAGGCACCCTTCGCAACATCCGCTGTCAATTCCCACAAGACAGGTAGCAGCTTCCGTTGATCCTTTTATACGTAAGAATCATCATTATTGTAATAGCAACGCTTTCAAGATCAAGTATATGTACATTAGGTTCGGCTCTAAATTGAAGGGAAGTAGAGACTTATTGTTAGCTGTAACCCGTTCCTGTATACTGATCCAAAAGAAGCTGCTTAATATTCAAAGAACAAAGTTCAATTTATAAAAAATAAATACAGTAGCGATAAACGTACGCATTTGTGCAATAAATCTGCATAATTAAAGGAGGAAGTAACTCGACAGGTTGCATTTAAGTGGAACTAGTTCGAGCAACAAGTTGTATTCACACGGGGTGTGTTGGGGATCAACTGCTATATTGCGAGCAAAATGTGATGGCATGTTTGAGATAATGCCAAATTTGATTACTAGCTGCGTGTGCTAGAATCAAATTCTACTAGCTATATTAATGTTTGAAGTTATTATATATAAGTTAGAAATAAAAATTACATCAAATCGTGAAAATTTACCTAGTCACGTAAATAGCGGAATTATTATTAACTTTTATATTATCTTTGATATTAGTTAACTACCGTATCTTAATACAAGGAATAGAACAAATCTAACAGATGTGTGTTATCGTTAATGATTTAATTTGTTGAATAGGCAATATAGTAGTGTCATTATATGTTGAGCGTAGTATAAAAATCGTCATGAAAGCCCAGCCGCAGCGAGCACTTCCAACCCTCCATCCGCGTTCGCTGACGTATTGTTTGCCGGGAGAAATGAAACGAGAAAAAACCTCGTTCCCAAACGTATCGTGAGAAATAATGAAATGTGCTCTGCATTCATTAAGCGACGCTCCGCCAGAAATCAATAAATATCATATTACGCTCGGCTAACCGTGGCCGCGTACAATACAGGTTACTGTAGATTATTTCAAATGATTTTCGGCGATTAAGTTCAATAACATTTCTTGGTTAAGCCAATTATGTCTTATTAGCGTCATTAATCATCAGATTCTAAAACAGCGCTGCGTAAGGGGCACTAAGACATATTATTAAAATGTTTAAAGTAACTTAAGTAGCATAGACGAAAATTCTATAAGACAATGCTTTGAATAAGATTATTAGTAGAATCTGAAAATTAAAAATTATTTCCCTGGCATATCACATGGATGTCCAATAATAAGGATTTTTAAGAAATTCTACCCTTTAGAAAGGGAAAGAAGTGAAGTTTGTATGGGACGATTCCTTGTCGCAATCTATGAAAAATCTGTCATAAATATACCTACTTGTCGTATCGATGATATACTAGCAATACGCTATAATAATTCCGCAATGGAGTTAAAAGGGAAGAAGTGTGGGCAAAAGAGAGGTTCACAACTCGCATACCAGGCTCCTCTAGTTCGTAATTTTAGAAGCAGGTACCATTATATTTATCCGCTTGCAAATTCGTGCATGGCGATCTTTGGCCTTACTTTTTTGTGACAAGCTGTCAGATTAGTCAGTCAGGATATGGTCGTGGATGTTTTCGTGCCTTTCTCCATTGTACATCTATCTACGTATCTTTGAAATAGGGTCATTAATATTATATTATATAGTAATCTATGAATTAATTAACTAATCACTAATGCATTCAAACGTCAACACAAAATTACGTCTAAAAGTATAAGTGTCTATACGTTGGTTGTTATTATTTCCAATAGGATTTCTCGGAACTTGAATTCGGATTTTCGAATTTTCATTTCGCTTATTGATTTTTATTAAAAACTTCCTTTTTAGCCTGGAAGAGACCGCTTTAGGACGTTAAGGGCGTTCTCGTTGCTATATGCGGTTTATAAATATTTGGTGCGTTCGTTTAGTAAGTGTATGTGTGCAGGAAAATGCTTATAGATAATCGTTAATCGATATGATCGCTGGCCGGTCGATCGGCTTGTTGGCAGCTTCAGTCAGTAGAGAGTAGTGCCGACGTGGCTGTTGCGCCACCGTGGCCAGCCGGCGCCTGCGCCGTCAACTCTGACTCACGCTTTTGGATTCCTGTTTACTACCTACTACCACTGTAGTATCGCTATAACATTATACCAAATGATCTACCAACGCATTGTCTTTGAACTTACTGTTCGACGATAAACGTCAACGTTGATTTAAATACGCTAATTTTCTACGAATAAACAACAATGTTGCGAAAGCCAATTATGTAGTCTGTTAATATTGTTGAAGATCACTATTTTATTGTTTCCAAAAACCGCGGGAAGGAAGGAAACAAAGTAAGACCGGTTTAAGGTGCTGCTCTTGGAGATCTAAAAAAACGTTTATGATTACGTCTGTTATTTAAGCTTTGTACGTTTTTTTTAATATCATGTTATATGTAATTTTATTACAAAATACATAATACAATTCAATACACCAGCATAAAATATGGAAATAGTTTATCTTCAATTGTATTGGATTTAGTATCTTTTACCCTGCCGTTTTGTATTTTTTTAATTTCATTTTGGGAAATATATGCTTTTTAACAATTCGGTTTAATATGTATATAAAACGGAATTATGCCTGGTTATTATATAGGTTAGTAAACTTCAACTTCATTGCAAACTCTTCAAATCGCGAACGCCTCTAACTTGGGGAAGCAATTTATGAGTCAGTAGGACAAAGTAGTAACATAAACCTGATGGAGGATAAGGCTACGAGCCCTAATTAGTCAGGTGCACCTAACTAGTAACCTAGAATACGATACATTTCAATTCGAAGTTATGAATCATTCCTAGATTCGTTGCAACATTACCATTTAGTATGGTAGATGTTTATATAACTCGCATATAAAGAGGGCATCTAGATATAGTATCGATATTGTAAATGATGATGATGATTGAATGATGCGCATCATCCCCATCTTTTGGTACTTATAAAGTATTATTATTTTGTATGACAGAAAAGGATGGAGGGAAGAAACACCCTAGCTCAATGATTAACATTCTATCAAATAGTACTAAAACGGCTTAATGAAGCTGTATCTATATCATGCTATTAGTAGGTAGGTACGTTTGTTTGGTGAGCACTATTTGTAAGGGTATGTTTGTGACTGTTTCACGATCCAATGGCTGGACTTTGGACCTGACACTCTGGAAAAACACATAGACTACTTTACATCCTAAAGAATGACGCTTTTCTGTGAGCTAAACCATAAATTTATATGCTTACAAATGCGAAAGTAACTCTCTCTGTCTGTCTGTCTGTCCGGCATTAACTCCGAAACTACCGAACTAATTTAAATTAAATTTGGTAAATAGATATTTTAATAAGAGAGACTTTTTTATGTCAAATAAGGTTGATAGGGGTTGAAAAAGGGGTTGAAAGTTTGTATGGAAATTCGTGGTTTTTAAAGCTAGAACAATGAAACTTTCTTCTTTGCTTTTTGGGAATAGGAGTGGGATTGGGAGTTGGAGTAGGAGTAGGTTAGGAGTGGGCGTGGGCGTGGGAGAGAGTGTAGGAATGAGAGTGGGAGTAAGTAAGAGTGTTGCGGCAAAGTAACACTTACCATAGATTGGGTGCCTTAAATGCGCCCTTACATAAATTAATAAACAGCCTAAATAATTAAAAATACTACCCCAAGTCACTATTCCACGCGGACGAAGTCGCGGACACAGCTAGTGCATTATATACGTGTAAGTGGTAATAACATAGTTCGGCATTTACCAAGGAGAAAGCGGAGTTCTCTGCTGATATTTAACGTTCTCGTAATTCAATATAGTGATCATCATGACATCTTCAGATACCAGGGTTATGGGCTTAAACGAATGTATGATATATTAAAGTATATTGTCAATGTATTTCAGTAAGCCATAGACTACATTATTATTGCTGATCCTGTGATATCTGGGCGGTTGGATTATCTTTATAGCCTTTCTAGCTTTGTTCTGTTTGCTTTCCACTTTATATCAATTTGAATCTAAAATACACACCTAAATTTTATTGAAGATAAACAATAGACTTGAATTATTAATATATATAGCTGACCCGGCTAATGATGTTTTGCACTATGATTATGTTTAGAGATTTCGAGTGTATGAAATAACGAACTTGAACTTAAATTAAAGATCTATTTAAAAAGTGGGTGACACGGGAGTTTTATCAATATAATGCCATCATTTAGAATAATATGAGATTAAGTAACAAATAACTATACTTTATCAAATCACAAGTCAGGATATGATATATTTATGAAAGAGTTAAATTAACAATGAGGTAAGAAATATAGAATATATTAGGAAAATAGGCGTAAGAGTGAAAATTTTTGCACTTTCTATAGACACTCTTACGCCTTTACGCCTTACGCCACAACGATGTAAAGATATGTATTTAATGCTCCATAATATTAAAAAATAAAAAACAGAGATAGACAACCCTTATTACTTAAGGGTATTAAAAAGATAGTAGCTGATTCTCAATTATTAAGTGTTCACATAAGAGGTCAAGCCGTTTCGGAAGAGAATGGTTACTATCATACTGTTACTGAGACAAGAACTTTATACGTTAGATTATTTTTTTTTTAACATATTTGCTCGTAAAGTGGTTGTAATTACACCAATTTCAATATCGTAATGTATCTCATTACGTACTTGTGCGATAATGTAATGTAAAAGGCACGTGTTTTTTTTCTTAGCAAAGTTTTAAGATACTCCGTCTAAAAACGAACGATACTTTTAAAAATCTTAGCAAAGAGGTTTTATGTCAAGAAAGTGGACAATATTTTATGAATAAAATTTACTTTGGGAAATAAAATATAACAAATAAACATTTAATTCTTTAATTTAATTAACTTTTACAATAAATTACAACTATTTATCTGTAACAAAAACACTTAAATATTAATTCACTTTATTAGTAATACTGGCTGTTTTTGTACCTTTGCCTAAAAAAAAACGTAAAAAATGCGCGCGCAACGCTTATTTGTGGTAACAAGTAAAAATAAATCCGCGCGCTTTACTTTTCGCTGTATTGTTTTTATTAAAAAATGTCGTCATGTTCGTTTAACTAAATTAGAGTTTTATTAATTTCCTCGTAAATATGTTATAAAACGTCATATGACATACGTGCGCTTTGAAAATTACAGCCACTGCTTTCTTATAGCCATCGCCGATGGCTCGGGCTAGTAATATCTCCTCGGCTGTAATTTTCAACTTACCGCACTTATATCATAATGTACTATTATCACACTTCTTCTCTAACACTTCAACATTCATTGGTATAAAATAAATCTACGTCGGCGCAAATAGAATTTCCGAATGAGTCGTGATTATTGGAAATCGTATTAGTTGTGAATGCGTGCTGACAATTTTTACGGTTACGCACGTTTCCATCTACTGACCCCAAATAGCTTCTCGTACGTAGGTGATAAAGAAAAAACAACAAAGGATTATATGGTCAAAGGCTGTTCGCGCACGGCCACCGATTTACATTCCTCACGACGCAAAGGGTCGGAGAGGTAGGTCGGGTCGGTTCAAAACTATTTTCCTTTTAATAAAATATTTAAGCAATGCGTGCAATTGTTACGGAAACGTGGCTTTAAATTAATTAAAAAACTGGCCAGGAGCGAGCTGGACTCAGGCCAGGTAGGTTTGCTTAACATTAGCTCTGAAAAGGGTAATATTTGTTATATTGCAGACCGTATAATCTTTTGATTTTTTCAGCTAATTACATTAATTGAATATTATTGTGTAAGTTTGGTCCAGAGAGTTATAAACAATAAACTTGAAAACTTTAATATTTTGCCACATGTGTCACTATATAAATAAAATCGATTTTAAATTGAAAAAAAAAAACTATTAATATGCAAGCCATAAGGTTGACATTGAATTGCGCGAGAGGTGCATGTATCAATATGCATTCAGTCATCCATACGTATTTAAATTGGTTAGAGCAACAGCACGGAACGCTGTGGAGGCCGGTTCGTGTCCTGCCTGTGTATTACTTTTTACTAAAACAATAACCTTATTATTTTTAATTGTATTTTTATCAATGGCGACAGACACCATTTGTTCCTGCTTACAAACAAGCAGTTAACTCTTTAAAATGGGGTTCCATGATACGAACTAAAAAGAAATTAACTGTAATAGAAGGCTTCGAACATCTGAGTGCAAAGCGAGCAGGAGAGGGGGTCACCCGGGTCAGGATCATGAGGTCGAGCAATGTGCTGCCGGCTGCCGGGGCAGATTAGTTACCGATGTCGTGCTCGGAGCACCCTCTCGACTACCGAATGAAGCTACAATACACCGAAACAATGCCAGACACGACTATCTGTAATTAAGACTCTTATTATTGTTACCATATTAAGGCGTGTACAGTGTATGGACCTGTCTCTGGGTTTATACCTACTTTACTTTATCTGTGCTGCCTTATGTGTAGGAAGGTTTCTATATAATTATATTGTAAACATATAATTTAATAAAACACTTTTAATGGATAAAAACGCGACCTACTTCCGATATACTCCTGTAATTGGACATTCAGTGATGATTTTAGACAGTTTAGATACTAAAAACTGTTTTTACTATAGTATAGTACTAATTACTATAGTAACTTCCTTAAACATTGTATAATAAATAGTCTAGAATTGTCAGTCATATTTTCATTACAACATGTATTTGACTTAGTCTATAACTTCAATTACAGGATAGAATTTGTTGTATGTCGTAAAAAATATAAAATGATTGTTTAAAAACTTATGTAACGTGAAAATTCTACTTTAAATGTTCTTTTAAACTTCTAGGAAAAAAAATCTTAGAAATAAAGAAATAATCCTTAAATTCATGGACTTATCTACCAATAGTCCAAATATTGTATAAGGACAATGATAAATAAATAAAAAGGCGACAATTTTTTTCAAAAATTATGCTCCAGGTGAGGCTCGAACTCACAACCCCGGCATTGCTCACGAACACTGTCTTATAAGTACCGTGCGCTAACCAATTGCGCCACTGGAGCGACGAGCGACCCAACGAAATTATGGTATCAGTGATGTCGATCCCCTCCCCCCTCCAATCCTCGCCCGCACTGTTAGTGTCTAACTATACGATATCATATTCTGACGTCAATTCTAACGATTACGTCAGCGGTTTATGATAATTAGTAACAACCGCAGAACGTTGATAAAGTGCCCTTTTTTAACCGACTACGCAAAGCATAGAAGGTTTATCATAAAACAAAGAAAACTGTTTTAAGTTTTCTAGTTTTCTAAATACTAATCCACTGTTTAATCGTAACTATTGTTTAAGTGAGATTAATAGATTGAAAAATAATATTGTTTCATCGTGGACAGAGTGGAGTCACTTTAGTGTACCCGCATTTTAAATGTCTTGATTTTTAATTATTTATCTCATACTTTTAAAATATGGAAGAATTCTTTCAGGAATTAGTCTAAATGTTTAGAAAATAATGGATTATTAAAAGTTTTTTATCTACTATAAATATTAACTTACCGTGGTTTTGCTCGTTCGATAGCCAAAAAAGAAAAAAAACGTAAAACGATAGGAAGATGCCATTTCCTATGACACCGAAGAAGAAGTTATTACTTTTTACTTAACTTAACTTAAGTTATTAGTTTATATTATTTATATGTTCGCATTTTAATATTTAGTAATACTACTTGAAATTCTTTAGTCTCTTTTTTCCTTAGTTCATGTCGTTCTGTTGTTTAACAGTTTCTAATGTAATGGTAATGGGTGGAAATATTGAACGGCGGCAAACTGACTGATCAGCTTGATTGAGCAGGACAATTGCTCTTAATGAAAGTAATTAACACGACGCGATCGACCGACGATAGACGAAAGCGGCTCGATACGGTGCGCGTGCGATCACAATGTAAATCAACCCACAGACCAGAAATTAATTATATACCATAACTATTTCTATATAAACGTCATTTTTCAGAAATCTTTTTATGTAAAATACTGTCTGCAGTTTACGCGAGTAGTACACATTTCGCGTTTTAAACCGTCAAAATGTTTTATTTAAAAGCGTATACGTAAATAGGAATGATGCGTTATTAAACTACAAACGTTGAATAACGTTGCCTCGCTTTACGTGTGAGGTCTTAGGTTCCAATCGGGGGGAATCAACATTTAGTTTGGCCCGACAGGCCACAGAAGTGCCAATTTTTTTTACTTAATTGCCAGTATTTTTTTAATGTTTGCAGGTTTTGGACATGAGACGTTTTTGAAGCAACGACACGAAATGTATTTGTGCAAGTCATAAGCACATGTGAGTATTAAAATGCACCTTTCCTCAAATCATTTCAACCAGGGGATAACTTTCTTGTATCGCTAACCAAATTTTAATAAAGAAAGCATTGAAACATGACACTTTTGTAAATCGCGAGAATCAAATTCACCTGACGCAGGTAAGAAATAATTCCATTCAAGTCCGTTGCTCAAAGTCCTGTGAGAAAGCGACAATAATACATGCCGATGTATAAAAACATGAATATAGGGACCTTGAAGATTCCCAGTAACACACCTTTATTTCCATATTTATTCCAATATCTAGACAGTGTAGATCAAGGTTACACGTTTATCTTTATGGGACTGTAAATCGAGAACAAATTTATCGATAAAATGGTATAAAGCTAATAGTGAAACTTGTCTGCGTATTTATTTAAGATATTCTACAGATCCACAAGCAAATATAAATGTTTAAAATAAATACCGGCGAAATCCATTTCGTTCGATACATTTCAAGGTTACTTACACTGCAGTTAGATAAATTATTGGTATGTACAGGTTTAAGCTTTAAGTTGGGTGTTTTTCTATTTGCCTTAGATTTTGTTTTGGCTAACATCCACGGGCTTGTTGGTGTAAACGGATGTAGTAAAAAATCAACGGATCAGGGTTCGATCTCCACCGGGTCCAACATTTTTCTGAAACTTTCTGTAGTAGGAATAACGAAATTCCGTCCGCGGTTTTGGTCTGTGAGTTTCCAAGCGAGCATTTGAAAGCAAAATAGGTGGACAGCGCAAGTTGTTAAGATGTTATACTGCTGGGGTATTTATCAAGTGAATCCCGCGCAGGACAAATAATGTCCTTCTCTTTTTTAAAGCAGGACACACTTTTTTAAAGAAGGACACCCTTTTTTAAGGAAGGATCCCATGCAGGACAGATAAAGTCCTCCTTCTTTTTTAAATTTTTTTTTAAACAAAACAGTTGTTTTTACTGTATCATTGTATATCTAATAGCAAGCATTAAAAATAGATATTAGATAAAGTTTAAGTAAGGCAACTTGAATTAATATTATCATTAAAATAATGTAAAACACGTGACTTCCGTTAAATTTTAATTTGATCCATTGACAGTCACGTGTGCTGAATCAGATTTTTATTAGGTCATATATGATATAATTTTTTAAATTACGTTATGTTTCGAATTACAGTTATTTTTATTAAATCATAGTTCATTGACAACTAGTAGTGTAGCATACAGTAGCTATTACATACATATACATACATTACCTTTGTAGTAAAGAGTTTTTTAGTATCATGCTTTTCAAACGTTGATTGTAAAAAACAATGACAAAAATAGTTTTTACTGATTTTGAAGAAAACAATCACAAACTTTATTTTAAAATAAAAATAAATAAATTGGACACTGTTGATCTTCAGGGGTGGCTGTTTTATTGTTTGAAAATGAACACGATTAAATATGTCCTTACAAACGCACACATCTAACCACTAAACACAAGAAGCTTAAAAAAAGTATGTCTCTATAATATTTTCATATTACATACCATACTGACTATGATCAAGTTATCTCATAATATAATCAACTTGATAGTCGACAACATACATCTTGTAATGAGGTGTAGAAAAAAACGACTGCGCGTGATCAATAAGCATAAAAGAATTCCACGTCCAACGATGAATGGGGCGGCCATCATTCTTATGTGAGCATGTCGATCGTTTTGTATGCCTGTGAGTTGTGCCGTGGTATCACTCAATGAAAAAGTGCTCTAACTCTCAGGTGAACACCTGTTCAGGCGCCGAGAGCGTGGGATTACATCAGGTAAAGATGTGCAAAGCCGAGTTTGCACTGCGCACTTGCAAAAGTTCTTAAACTCGATTGCACAAAATGTATATACACTAGCTGTGCCAGCGACTTCGTCTTCGTTGATTAGTTATTTTGGACGTCCAAATAACTTTTCAAAACCTCCCCCTCGTCTTTATAAATTATAGGCGTTAAAAGATTGTTCTCTTAAATTATATCTTGAAACTTTTTCGCAGCGTACGCGATGGTAACTTATAAAGATGATTAATTTATCCGGTTTGTTCCACATTTCCCACTGTTTTGATGCGACCATAAGGAGTGAAGAAGCGTAATGTTTTATTTCTTAAAGCTTCCTCGTTAAATGGCTAACATAATAGATTTCGAACCAGTAGTACCTGAGATTAGCTCCTTAAAGTTCGAATAAACAAATTCATGTGAGGTAAAAAGTGGTAGGTAAGCTAACTTACCACTTTTAAACTCACATGAATTCAGGTTCAAAAATATGTTGTATTTATTTAGATCCCAACTTTTTACGTGTCGCACGAAAAGATAAGGCGAAATATAAATAAATAAAATTGCGTTAATCTAAACTTAACTTATTTAGCGCCTGCATTTAAGTTATATTTTAGAACCTCCTAGGGATTTTAATTTCCTCCCCTTAGTCGAAAGTTATAGGTGTTAATCTTCCTAACACTGAAAGTCTTTTATCATCTTCTAGATGGTATTAAAGTGACAAAAACAAACGTCAGCTATAAAATATTAATATAGATATTAAAAATACTTCTCGTTTATTTGTCCAGATAACAGTTTAAATCAAAAGTAAATTTATCACCGTAAAGTTTATCTTCAAATCTTCGGATAAAATATATTACTTAATTCAGTTCTTTGAGTACGGCCTCATGTCCTATTGAATATTCGGGTATGTGTGATTTAGTGCGTTGTTGATTTTATCCACATTCCACACTGTTGTACAATACAGAGAATGGCGCAACGCGAAATTCCATTAAGCTCTTTCAATGCGAATGAAAGAACGTTTCGGAAAAAATGTTCGTTTTGGAACAGGTTATTGTTCAGCCTTAAAGAGGAATAATCGAGCGTTTTTGTTTCCAGTTAACCGTGACAAACTGGGATGTTTATGTACCTGTGGTTGCGCTTCGTTGTTCGACTTGTCTCCACAGGGATAAGATCAAGCGATAATCTACACTAGGCATGGCCTGAAATTCGGTTTAATTTACGTTCAATGGAATTTCTGACTGAATCTTTTGCTCT